GTACACCACACTTTCCTAAAAACCTGCCGCAAGCCATGTAGAGGGAGATTCCGGGTGAGTGTAGCCAGTCCACACCAGGGTTCCTAGAGTCCAGTCCACATAACCTGTGGTGGTGACTTTTGCACACTACAGAAGTCAGCACCTGGAAGACCTCCCCAACCTAGCACAGGGCTCCCGCTCTGACCCTGCCCGCAAGTTGCCCTTCCTCCCTTGTCCTTTCTCCCGGGCCACGTGGGTGGAATTCTCAGGCAGGCTGCACCTGGGGAGGGCAGAATCACAGGGCAGGAGGAGGAAAGGTAAGATACTGAGTGCCCTTCCTGCCGCCAGGCCTGGCGGGTTTCAGACACCCTCCACCAGAGCTGCTATTGGAGGCCCACCGGCCCAGCCCCAGCATTCCCAGAAGGAAATCCACTCTCAGGCACTGGCCAGGCCATCCTGCCTCAGCTCCCGCCCTCTTCCAAGGCAGGCCTTCCACGCCCCCACATCCCTGGGGTCTGGGGCCATCAGGGACACCAAGACACACACAGGTCTTGGGATGTCAGCATGTTGAGGGAATTTTGCTTTTTGTTTTGTGGAGTGAAATTTCTCGGGTCACACGGGGATGATCTAATTGGCAGGTGAGTTCCCACACAAGCTAGCTTCATCCTGCTGCGGGAGGCCCAGGACTCTCTAGATAGAGCGGCCAGGGAGATCTGTCTGTTCTACAGAGTTCATGTGGTCATGGGTCACAAGGCCACGGTGCAGGGAGAGCCAGCTTCCTGCGTACATGACCCCTGGGCTGCAAGTGTAAATTCTGAACCCTGAACTGGTGGGGCTGGGCCAAGTCCCCTAGTCCTGCCCACCGACTGACAGCCAACAATGAATTTTCATTCTAGCTTCTACTCTAGTGAATAATTAGATGAGAGTTAAAATTTTCTAAGAGTGATGAATCATCACCCTGCTGCCTCCTCTTGGTTAAAGATTTCAGATGGTGGCGATTTCCAGACTGAGAGGTTGTGTGTGTGCTGCGCTGCAACCACCACCAGGGGGCGCAGCTGGACAAGGGCTGCTGCCTGGCCTGGTCCGGCGGGGTTTCTAGGAAGGGGCGGGCTTGCTGCAGGATACGCATCTCCATTATATCGCGTTGCTTGGGAAAACATTAGAGATAAACAGCGTTAGCATCAGCAACAAGTGTAGGTTGGCGCTCGAGGACAGCGACCTCTGAAGGCAGCAGCCAGTACGGGTGCCCTGCTAGGGACCGGCGTCCCCTAGAGCCCCTCCTGGCTTCCCCTCAATGCTCGGAAACCCTGCCTACCCGTTAGGCGCCCAGCACTTTATGGGCTACAGAGTAGGTATGGCTAATAGAACCCATCTTAGTAGGTTGTTGTCCAAGTCATGGCTGAAAACACGCGAACTGCTCTAAGTGTTTGCCATTGTTGGCGCAGGTGCACCTCACTCTTTGTGCGAAGCCCCTGCAACGGCTGGGCCCGCTGTTAGGATTTTCCCGTCCCGGTGAGCTGCATGCTATTCAGGAGGCGCAGTGCTCGGGCCCGGGGGTGGTGTCGCCAGTGAAGGCCACTTTTCAAAGTGAGGTAGTTAATTTTTAGGGAACTTTGTGTAGGTAAATAAAGATGCACTGGGTGTCCATTATCGTCTCCCCCACTGGAGGGCCAGGCATTTGTTTCTATCACTGCTGTGTCCCCAATGTTTAGAGCAGTGCCTGGCACTGGGAGGAGTTTAATAGACATTCATGGATGACATTGGGGAATATGCATGTGGCATAATAAAAAACTTATTTAAAAAAAACATGATACCAATTTTGTAAAACAGATGTATTTATCTATTTCCATATATAGCTCTCTTCATATGTACCTGGAGAGAAAGCATTTCAGAGAAATATATACAAATTCTGATAAACTGAAGGGAATGAATTGACAAATTAAATACTTTTTGTTATTTCCCATACTACCTACAATGAAAATGCATATTGGCTTTGGGACAGAAGAATTAGATTGGAAAGAATAAGATGGAGACATTGCCACAGGGTGTTTGGGGTCCCAGGGAAGGGACACACACCTGGCGTCGCTGGCGTTGGCTGCATGAGAGCAGCCCTGGCTGGCAGTGGCGGGGGGCTGCCCTGGGAGGCTTCTGTTGCCCTCCCTCATCTGCTGATGTCTGAGTTGGTGGGGGCCGAGCAGGGACCGAGGAGGAAACCGGGTCAGGCCTGGGTCTCCCAGGAGCCACCACCAGGGGTCACTGGCCAAGCCTTTTTGAGACAGAGAATGCCACTGGCTGAACCTGCATCCGTGTCCCCTGTAAGCTGAGTCAGTGCGGGGGACCCCACGGAAGGGGAAGTCCGGGGGAAAGATTTATCGGCAGCCTGGGCAACTTGGCTTCACTCCTTCCTAAATTTAAATGGCCATCTCATTGCTGGCCAGCCTGACCAGTGCAGGCGTCCCGTTCCACCCTCGCCCACTGCCGGGTCCGCCTTACACTGGCCGAGCCCCTGCCACCCCCCTCTTTCCTGCCCGAGACAGGGCAGAAGCAGCTCCGACAGCCACCAGGAGCTCGCAGGCTGGGGGCTCTGGTTTCCCTTCTACAATGAAGCAGACAAGTAATTGTGGCAGCAACAGTGAGCAGTTCTCACCACTCTGTGGTTTACAGATTCCTCAAGGTCATCTGCTCTTTCTCTGTCTCCCAGGCTCACCTCAGCCCTTGTCACCCCTGGGGCTGGTGCCTCTCTCTCACAGGAGGGAGAGGTAGGCTAAGCAGGGCTGTGCGCACACTCCACAGGCAGCCGCACCTGCTCTGTGAGAGGCTCTGTGAGGACAGAAGGGGGCCCTGCCGACCGGGGAGGGCCCAGAACAGAGGCTCAGAACTTTTCCCACATGTCTCCTCGCTCAAGGGTTTCTGGCTCCGAGGGAGGCCTGGCTTCTGCCCACCTCTCAGGAGCTCAGCCTGCGGGCAGGAGGCATGAGCCATGACCACCCTGCCTGCAAACCAGGGCTCCTCTGGGCTGTCCTTCCCACCCAGGGTCAACCTGGACTAGCTTCCCCCGCAGGCACCCCCCGACGACGCATTCAAACAGAACTGCCCCGAGGCTTGAGGTTGAGGCCCAATTAACAGTAAAACATGCATTTGATTTTGGGGGTTTATTTGCTAAACCAGCAAAATATAACTACCACACTAGCCACACTGTGCAAACATATGGGGCCTCTTGTTGGCCCTTGAGGTTCCGCCATGGCCAGTAAAAGCAGCACATGGCTCAGAATGAGGCCAGCCACTCCCAACGGCAAGGAATGGACAATGGACAAGCAGAAAAGGGCGACCTGGGGCCAGTCACCTTCCTGGCCTGTGGCACAGTGCCAGGTGCAAAGGAACCAGAGAAACAACTTAGCCCAAAGTTGCTCTGCAGCGAGGGCCCAGGGAGCTGGGGTCAGAGGTAAACTCCTCCTGCCCCGGCCAAGGGACAAAGCAGCTGTTTCTCCGGAAGCTTCCTGGATGCCTTTCTGTTTGAGGGCTGTGACGCAGGGTACTTGCTTGATGTCTTCTTGTCCAGGGGGACGAGCAGCAGCACCCAGCCTCTAGGGTGCGATGAGCACTCAGCACAGCGGCCTTTTCTGGGATCTGCTCATTTGTCAGTATCGCTGCAGGACGCACGCCCCTCCAGTTCTGGGGCAGGATCTCAGCTCCTCGTTTCAGGCTGTCTCTAAGCCTCCCTATTTTCATCCAGACAGTGATCGCTGGGGCGGGAGGAGAACTGAGGTGGCAGACATGTCTCACCTCCACAGTAGGTGTTCAAGGGTTTCATCTGTGTCCTCTGACCTGTGGGCCCATGCCCTCCTACACACCCCTGTGTGCGGTGTGCCCATGTGCGATGTGTGCACGTGCACGGTATGTACATGTGTGTGCATATGCATGCACATGTGTGGTGTGCATGAACACGTTTGGGTGTGCCCATGCACTTGTGTGTGTGTGCGCATGTGCGTGCACATTTGCATGTGAGAGTTAGTGTGTGTGCTGGGTACAGACTGGTGAGGCGCCTCTTACAGGAGGAGGCTGGGCCCACAGTTCTTGGTCTTAGGCTGACTCACATGGAATCATACACGTTTACCCATTGGCTTGGGTCTGCCGAGGCCCAGTCGGTTGAACAGAGGACTCCAAAGTCCCTGGTCAGGTCTCCCTTTGTGTGGCCCTGTCCTCCTATGCGTCGCATCTCCTCCAAGCAGCATCTCTCTGTGCTTTGATTTCCTCTGTGTGGTCCTCAGGGCTCCCAATAAGGGTCTGTGTGAGACATGGCATTTAGCCTGTTGCACCCACCTGCAGGGACGCTCCAGTCCTGGCAAAGCTCAGCTTCCCAGGACTGCAGGGAACAATGCCCAGCCTGCCTCTGGACTCCCGGAGCCATGTCTCATCAGGGCAGGACCCCCAAGTGACCTGGGACCGACTTTGTGGACCTTCATGAATAGCAGGGCCCACTCCAGGCCTGTGGGGGTCTGACTTTGCTTACAGAACTTCCCAGGGCCTGAAGGGTCGTGTACCCATGACCTGGGAAGCTCAGCGACCGTGCAATCTATCCCGGAGCTCACCTCCTTTCCCCAATTTACATTTCATGGAATAAGGCGCACGAAAGGCAGGAACAGGGATCTGACGAGAGCAGCCGAAGAAGGAGAGCATGTTTGTTCACTCTTTATTGTGTCTTTTTAAAAGATGGCATCATGGCTCACCCAGCGGGTCAGTGATTCACATGCAGTCATCGGTGCCCCTGAAACAGGCGTGCATGGCATTTCCAGGGCTGTTTGTCTGCGTCCCTCTGCGCCTCCTGGCCGACACCAGGAGACAGAAGTGGAGACCCCGGGTTACTGGCTATGAGGGGTGGGTCTTGAGGGGGACCGGGGAGGCCGGGGTGGGGGGAGGTCAGCAGGCAACCCAGCCCCCGTTCAGTTCTGCTTCCTGTTCCCCAGGCGCCCCCCTGCTCATCCCGGTCTGTCACCATATGCAAAGTACCTTCTCCAAGGCTGCTACATGCTCCCCTTCACTTTCTTTCTGGTGGAGTATGGAATGCAGCACACCCAGCTGGTAGTGGTCCTGGAGGCCGAGATGGGGGGCGGGGAGGGGAGAGACAGGCCATGGGGCCACGGGTGCCGGGGGTGTGGAGCCCAGGCCCCATGAGGCACCGCTTGGGACCCCAGACACATGCCACAGGGTCTCCGCTCCAACCTCTGCTGCACCCAACCACTCAAGTCCCGGGGAGCCGAGGGCTGGCCTGTGTAGCTGCTGGGCCCTGAGCGCAAAATCGGATTCCAGTGCAGAGCCAGGCTTGCCTTCGCGCCAGGTGCCCGAGTTTTCCCAGCCCACCACCATGCCTTTTGTCCTCTGTCCTGGAAGGCCTGAGTCAGAGGGGACCCTTGGACATGAGAGACCTTAAAGACTCACTGAGCCAGGTGTCACAGGTTCCCCCACATCCAGCCCTGCATCTTCCCTGAGCACCTCGGCCTGTGCTTGTCTCCCTGTGGGGTGGTTGCCGGAGCTCCACTTCCAGCCTAGGCTGCCTTGGGGAGGAGGCAGCAGCCCCTCGCTTGGCAGGGGCCACCATGGCTCGGTGCCAATACACCCCATTGGGCTGCTACAGGCTGCTGGCACCTGGGTACCCGACCCCGCCATCTGAATGGGCCCGCGGGAAAGAGCTGGGCAGAGAAGACTTAGCTCTGAGGAAAACTGAGATTGCAGGTGAGCGACACAGCAGAACAAACAGGTTACTCCGCCTAGCAAGTGCCCAGGCCTGGCTCTCAAGGTGGGCCCGCTGCAGACCCCCTTTCCACTGGCTAGAGGCCTCCAGTGGTCAAGGCTTAGTTCTGGGGTGCTGGCCCGTCTCTCACGTGTTCTGGGGCAGCTGAGTCCTGGGGGTGATGGGCTGAGACCGAGAGACCAGCAGGGTAGACTTGGGACTGCCTGGTCTTTGGGGCAGAAAATAGAGCCGCTAAGCTGCATACAAGTGTGGCTGAATCAACCACCACATCCATTAAGTAATGAAGAGAAAAATAAAGGTCTGCTTAGCAAAAGACGACTTATTTTAAGCCTACATTTGAGGGTCTGGCAGGGCCACCCGATATATTTCAGGTCATAAAAGCTGATGTGACTGGCTGTGTAAGTCGAGATCAGAAGATAGGATCTTGTGAGTGAAGAGGGAATCGAACTTCCTCACAGAAACTCTCTCCTCCAATACATGCAAATCTGGGGGAAAGTAGTAACAATAACAAAGGGCAAATAAGTGAAGGGCTCTAAGGCTATAAGCATTCAGAGCTGGAGAGCCAGAAAAATGGCACCCAGGGAAGACCCCATTGTCACCAGTGTGCCTGTCTGTGTGTCCCCAGGGCCGGCCTTTGTTCCCAATCTGTACTTTGAAACCACGTGGACCTGTGGGGTCCTCACTCTTCCTGAGAGGAGGAACTTGGGTGATTTCAAACTCTTCCTCTTTGGTGTGCTTTCTACCTTATTTACTTAAAATGACCGTGCATCCGTTTTATAAGCAAATAGAGAAATTTTTCTTATTAAAACTGTGCAAACAACTAAACCAAGATATTAATATAGTTGCTAATTCTTAGTGGTGAGAAGTTGAATGAATTGCTATTTTCTTCCTTGTGTTTCTCTGCATTGCTTAAAGTATAACAGGCCCACGCGCCCTTGGGTGGCGTAGAAGAAAGTACGTCACCTTCTCCCAGCACCCTTTATGGCCTCAGGGAGTAAGTGGTGGGCATTCAATGGCCCTACACAATCTCCAGCCCAATAGGGTATAGGCAGTCAGGGCACACATGAGGGGCCCTCCCACTGCCTGTGGGGCCAAGGTGTGCGACACTTGGTCCACCCAAACCCCCCAAACTAAGAAGCTGGTACATCCATGAGGAAACACCTCACTCTCGCCTTCTCTTCTTCCCTTCATTCCTTCCCCATATTCTGGCCATTTTGTTGGTTAATGGGGTGGGGAGAGACAGTCTGGCTATGGAGTGAGGTGGGGCTCAAAGTAAGGGTTGTGTCAGATCCCTTAGGTGGTTCGAGGCCCTGTGCCGCCCCTCTCGGTGGCTCCAGAGGAAGAGGGAAGGCACGCAGGCTTGGTTCTGCCCACTCTGCATGAGGCAGAATGGGCCCACCAGAAACCGTGGGAGAGAAAACGCCTCCCCACCTCCCTACCCCCCGACTCATTACTCACTCGTCTTCTGACAAATCCCCCATGTCCATCTGGGACCGCTTCTCCTCTCTCATGGCACATGTGACCACCTGTGGGGAGCAGCAGAAGCCCTTTAAGGGATGCTGTGGGGGAGAGAGTGAACCACAGGCACCAGGCCGAACGTGCTGGGCCTGCCCAAGGGTCAGATGGCGGCGTGAAGACTGCACTGGCCCTGAGCATCAGCCCACAGCACTGGGCACCCTCCAGTGGAAATTTCTAATTAAGGGACCCTGACCAAGGAGCTACCCTGGATATGGGCCTCCATGCCCTCTGGATTGTAGATCAGGAGACATGGGCCTTTCATCCCAACTCTGCCACAGGCTGACCCTGCGTGGACACTTAGAATCTGTGGTTCCCCCGTGGTAGCCTTGTCAGGAGTTAGTAATCCGCTCTCCTCACTGTGCAGCATGCTCTGAGAGCAGAGATAAAAGGTGCAGTCTGGAAAAAATAACTCCCCAGCAGGAGCTTAAATTTACCAAGACAAAAAACTTCTGAAAAGATGACTGCTTCCTACAGCAGAAAAATGGAGAAAGATATGCCAGAGGAGCCACTGTGTCGACCACTTCTCTTTACAGAAAATGATGATGATGATGATGATGATGATGATGACGATGACGATGATGTGAGAATGATGACGATGGTGATGATCCTGCTTATGATGGTGGTGATGGTGATGACAAGGAAGATGTGATGGTGGTGATGGTGGTGATGACGACAGTGATGGTGTTAATGATGAGGATGACGGTCATACGTAGGTGGTGATGATGATGGTGACGAAGACCGTGATGATGGTGGTGCTGGTGGCGATGGCGATACAGTGATGATATTGATGATGATAATGGTGGTGGTGATCATACGTAATGCTGAGGCTTTCTGGGTACCAGACACTGAGGGCTTTACAAATCAACCCTTGGGTGTGGGCACTACTAAGATTCCCCTTTTACACATGAGACAGCTGAGGTACAGAGAGGTACGATGACTTGTTTGGGCATTGACTGGCAGAGCTGGATGTGGAGGCCAGGTCTCCTTATTCCGAAGCCTGTGCCCTGCCTACAGCCCCAGCATGACCCCACAAGAGGTTCTTAAAGCCCATGGGCACCCCAAGGGTTGACTCAGGGCCGGGGTGTCTGATGGTGTTGGAATGTGTGCTGGTTAGAGTGAGCGAGGGAGAGAAAGAGGAGAGGGTGCCCTCCCGCCCTTTCAGCCCAATCCCCAACACCCTGAAGCTTTCCTGATGCTGTTAACCCTGCCTTTGCCTCAGCCTCCAACACGCACGTACTCAGGGCCAGTTCCCTGGAAAAGCCTTGTGGGCCTTGAGCACAGGCATTTCCCACTGGGTGATTTGGCTTTGTTGTGTGAAGGCTTTTTTACCTCCTCGGCATGGTCTCCCAGATCAATCTCCACAAACGTAGATGGTTTCTGTGAATGGAAACCAAAGAGACATGGAAGACAGGCTTAGGTAATCTAGGGAGGTGAACAGACTTCCTAGGAGGCAAAATGGGCTCCTGACCCTGGACAGTCAGAGTCTGAGCGATTACCACTGGGGCCACCAGACACTGGCAATGCTCAGTGGGGGCTTCTGAGAAGCTAGGGAGAGAGCTCCTGGTAGCGTGGGTGGCAAGGTGTCTGTGGGTCAGCTTGGCAGATGAGGGAGGAGGAGGAAACGGCTTCTTACCTCCCCCTGCTCACCTCCCATCAGGTACCTGCGACCCCAGAGGGGTTCTCCCACCTTTACCCTCTGAAGGCCAGGGCCTCAAGGGGACAGGCCATGTCCAGATCTGGGGCAGCCCCTCCAAGCCCACCCCAGACCTGCTCAGTTGGGAAGCACCTTTAACTTTGCCTCCACAAATCTAGCTGGGACTCCACTTTACCAAACTGTCTGGTAAAGACTCTGTCTGAGATGTCAAAAGCCCAGGCAGCTCAGGTGTTATTGCCCTAAGATCTCTCCCTGGGCACCTGTGCTCAGTCCAGAATGTCTTTCTAATGGTAGCACCTTAATCAACAACAAGGCAAGTATTTGGGGTGGGTGAAGGACTCCCGAGAACCCCTGGAATCACACTAAAGACCATCTGTTGTAAATCCTGGTAAAACACATCCAGCTGCCTCTCCATTCCCTACCACATGGATTGGGAAGGAGAATGACAAGCCACCTTTCCTCAGAAAGTGCCCTGTGTCAATTCCCAGGATAATATTGACATGTCTCTGGCCAATGCATCAGGGTCTGTGGCTCAGGGGTGTCTCCTGAGGCCAAGGTCAAGCTTTATGTTGCTTCCTGTCAGGAACCCACATGCCTTTAACAACTGCATGTTTGGAGTTACGATGCCCCAGCATGAGGCCAAGAACACAGAGTTTGACCTGGAAGACTCTCTGGGGGTCAGGGTAAGGCGGGGTCCAGACTATATACCACGGTCCTGCCGAGATGACTCAGGACCACATGTCCACATAGCACTCGTGGTCCAGCAGGACTATGCCTGATAGGCCTCCCCATCCGACTCTGTCACCAAGTTAAAAAGCTCTTGCCTTTTTTTCCAGGTCTTCCAGCTTTATGGATTCTGACTCCTGTTCCTGTAAGATACCAAACAGGTCAATAAAGGTAAGACTACAACCTGAGGGGTTGGCCATAGACGGACATTAAAGGGCTACAGCCTGACCTTGGCCTCAGTACATTTGTCTGTGCTCTCGTCTTCATGCTGTTCCCGGTCACTGGCCTCAGAGTCGCTCTTCTCAAGCTCTGGTTCCAACTTTCCACTCTCCTGGTCCAACTTTTCGTCTTCCTTGTCCAACCTGCCACTCTCCTGGTCTAACTCTTCACTCTCATGGTCCAATTTTCTGCTCTCCTGGTCCAACTTTTCACTCTCATGGTCCAGCTTTCCAAGGATGTCCTGGCTCCTTTCCTGCTTGTCTTCCTCTAGGTTTGCCTCACTGCAGAAGCAGAGACAAGGGTTTGGGCAAGATGTCGCAGCTTCAGGATGACACCTTTCTCCCTCTTGGACCTCTGGGAGCAGCCTTGGCCTGGACACATAGGCAGAGAGGGACCTGAAGGTGCAGGGCCGTCCCCTCCCCGAGGGCAGCAGGGTGCGGGGGTAGACAAGGCAGGCGATGCGTAGAGGTACCGAGGACAAAACTGTGCTACTCAGGCTGCTTCCCAGACCTCCCGCAGCGTGAGGCCGCCAGCGGTCCCGGCGGTCTGGGGCAGCAACGCCTCCTCAACGCTGGGGCCGCAGCACAGCTGGAGGGGCCGCCTGGGGACGTGGGCCTGGCGGAGGGAAGGGGGCTTGCAGCTGTGAGAGCCACCTTGGTTCATCCTGCCTCAAGCCCTCCCGTCTGAGCCCCTGGGGTTCTCTCAGGACACCCAGGACTCCTTCAGGGCCTCCAAGTCTTCACCTCGGTGCCGGCCCCACTTCCTGCCCCTGCCATCTCCTATGTCCTTCACAAGGCTCCAGAAAACCACCCCTGTCAGACAAAGCCCACCTACCAGATGGTGTCTTCAGTGTCGCTTTTTAGGTCCTTCCCCTGATCTTCGGGCTCTGCGAAGGAAGGAGCAGAGTTTGTCATAACACCCGTCATGTGGTCTGGAAGCTCTGCTGGCCTGGGGCCCCACAGGTCAGCCCCGCAAGGGAGGGGGGGCCCCCCCCACAGGACGTTGGGTGCGGGGCTTCCTGCAGCTCCAGGCACACTGCGGTGCGGCCTGATGACTCATGCTTACAACTAAAGCGAGTCTCGGTTTTTATCCTGACGGGTTGTCTCCTGATTCCCTGCCCCAGGATGATGCCCACTCTGTACCAGGCCCCATCCCTCACACAGTCGCTCTCGGACCTCTGCCCTCTTTAGGTAGGACTCGGGGTAAAGCATGAGGCGTTGCCCTTAAAATAAATGTGCAAGACCCAGGGGGACCCCTTGAAATCCTCCTGGTCGCAGCACACTGGACTAGACCTGCCCCCAGGGGCAGTGGGACTGGAGCCACACACAGCTCACCCAGCAAACTCCTCTCCTCACTGTTCCTCCTCTGAAGGGCATGGCCAGGGGGTGTTAGTGTAGTCATTTTTCCAAAGAAAGTGCTGACTGATATCCAGCTTGTAAGGGTCTTTGTCCAGGTGTGAGAGTACAGTGTGCTCATTAGGTCCGGAACCTGTCTGGCGTCCAGGGAGCTATTCTTCCAGGCTCAGCCTCACATAAGTAGCGATTGTCATTAAATAATTAAGGTCAAACTGCATTTGGTGACTTTGGCAGGACCAGAGCATAAGCCTCATGAACTATTTTCACAGAGCACAGAGACTGCTCGCTTCCAGGAGCTCATCCACCAGGAGAGCCTTCAAGGAGGTGTGCAGGAGGGGTTTCCCTCGCCCCTCCTCAGGATCTAAGAGGGAGCCTCCGAGGGGACTCACGGTCGCCAGCATTGAAGGTCCTGTTTCTGTGAGGTCTCTCTCGCCTGGGCCTGGAATGGTTAAGGTGACTGGTTCCCTGTAGTAGCAGTCCCTCCCCACAGGCAGCTTGGCCCATCCACCCCCCACACACACTGAGGAGCCCAGATTCAAGCACGGCCTGGGGAAAATGTCAAAGCTTTAAGCAATACTTTAAAAAAAATTGTATTTATTTATTTTTAGAGAGAGGGGAAGGGAGGGGGCAAGGGGAGGAAGGGAGGGAAACATTGATGTGAGAGAGAAACCTAGATCGGTTGCCTCTCATAACTCCCCACCAGGGGACGTGGTCCAAAATCCAGGCATGTGCCCTAACCCAGAATTGAGCTGGCAAACTTTCAGTTCCCAGGAGGACACCCAACCCGCTGAGCCATGCCAGTCAGCGCGTAAGTAATACTTTTGATGGAAGACCTGGCCAGGGCATCTCTGAGCAGCCCCTACTGGGAGAACTGCCTTACAGACTTTGGTTGTCAGGTCAGCTACTCCTGACCTTCCAATCAATCTTGATTCAGCTCACAGGCTTCATTCACGCTGGGGACGCTTTCCAGACTGAGGAAGTGGTGGCCCGGTTCCCAGGCGGTGCCCTGCGTCCTCCCCCTGCTTCTTTCTCTAGGGAGTCTGATCAGGCTGGTGCTTGCACACGCTCACGCTGTTCCACCCCTGGACAGCTCCCTCGACCCCTGCCATCTTCAAATGCCATCCCTCCTGGGGACCTGGGTGGTCCTGCCTAGTGTCCAGAGACCTGCTTTGGAGGGAGGTTTCATCATGGCCAGGCTTTCCTGGTGCTCAGCACGTGTGGCCTTCAACTGTGTTGTTGGGCATTTTTTGTCTCTGACTGGTCTGATTCTCTGCAGATAGGAACTAGGTATTCATGTTCTTCACCTGCAGGGCCCACACAGGCTCAGGGGACACTTGTTGATCTGTGGCTGTGCTGTCCCTAGGAAGACACTGGCCATACCAGGGACAAAAATCCCTGAGGGCAAAGGGCAGTGGTGTTAGGGAGGGAGTGGGACAACTGTGTCTTCAGAGAATATTTTAGAACTTGGTACAGTAGTCCCCACTTACACACAGTCTGAAAATATTAACTGAGAGATGTCAGCAATGAACAATTAATAAATTTTAAGTTGTGTGCCATTCTGAGTAGGGTGATGAAATCTCTCGCTGTCCCGCGCCACCCTGCCCGGGCCACGGGTCATCCTTTTGCCCAGCGCACCCGTGCTGTGCACCCTACCAAGTGTTAGTCACTTGGTAGCCTTTCTGGTTATCAGACCCACTGTTGTGGCGCCACACCGCTTGTGTTTGAGTAGCATGCATGTGCCTTAGTAACGGCCCCAAAGCACAGCGGTAGTGATGCTGGCAATTCAGATGTGGCACAGAGAAGCCATAAAGTGTTTCCTTTAAGGGAAAAGGTATGTATATGTAGGAACAAAGAGGATATAAAGGGCTCAGTACTTGTCGCGGTTTCAGGCGTCCCCTGGGGGTCTTGGAATGCATCCTCCGAGGGTAAGGCAGGATGACTGTAGCTCTCAAGACATCCCTCAGGGAGGAAGGGAGCACTCTAGCCTCAACCTCAGCTAAGAGGATTGGAATGATTCAGAATCAATAGTTCCCAAAGTGGGGATTTAAAAATGGACTTTTTGGGGAAAATCCTCAGCACCTACTAGCCTGTGAATCTGCACATGTGCATGTGCTTGTATGTACCTGTTTTATTATTTATATATTTTTTATTGATGATATTATAGTTGTCCCAATTTTTCCCCTTTTGCCCCCCTCCACCCAACACTCCCCACTCCCTCAGGCGACCCCCTCACCATTGTTCATGTCCATGGGTTCTGTGTATAAGTTCTTTGGCTTCTCCATTTCTATACTGTGCTTTATATCCCCATGGCTATTCTGTAACTACCTGTTTGTACTTCTTAATCCCCTCCCCTCTTCACCCATTCCCCCACACTCCCCTCCCATCTGGCAACCTTCAAAACCCTCTCTGTATCCATGGTTCTGTCTCTGTTCTTCTCATTTGCTTAGTTTGTTTTATAGATTCATTTATTGATATATATATATGTATTTTTTGCCATTTTATTGTCCATAGTTTTGATCTTTCTCTTAAATAAGTCGTCTTAACATTTCATATAAAAATGGTTTGGTGAAGATGAACTTCTTTAGTTTTTTCTTGTCTGGGAAGCTCTTTATCTGCTCTCTGATTCTAAATATCTTTGCTGGGTAAAGCAATCTTGGCTGTAGATCCCTGTTTTTCATGACTTGGAATATTTCTTGTCAGTCCCTTCTAGCCTGCAAAGTTTCTTTTGAGAAATCAGCCGACAGTCTTATGGGAACTCCCCGGTAAGTAACTAACTGCTTTTCTCTTGCTGCTTTTTAGAGCCTTTCTTTATCTTTAACCTTTGCATTTTAATGGTGTGTCTTGGAGCGGGCCTTTCGCATCCATTTTGTTTGGCATTCCCTGTGCTTCCTTGACTTGCATGTCTATTTCCTTCACCAAATTAGGGAAGTTTTCTTTTGTTTTGTTTTGTTTTTTTCTAATATGTTTCCATTTTCTTGCTTTTTCTCTTCTCCTTATGGCATCCCTGTGAGGCGAATCTTGGAACGCTTGAAGTTGTCCCAGAGGCTGCTTACACTATCCTCGTTTTTTTGGATTCTTTTTCTTCCTGTTGTTCTGATTGGTTGTTTATTGCTTCCTTATGTCCCAAATCATTGATTTGATTCTCAGCTTCATTTGCTCTACTGTTGTTTCCCTGTAAATTGTTCTTCATTTCAATTAGTGAGTCGTTTCTGACTGGATCTTTTTTCCTTATAACCAGTGTTTTGAAATCTGCCTCTGATAGATTGCTTATCTCCATTTCATTTAGCTGTTTTTCTGGAGTTTTAATCTGTTCTTTCATTTGGGCCATGTTTCTTCATCTTGTCATTTTGGCAGCCTCCCTGTGTTTGTTTCTATGCATTAAGTAGAGCTGCTTTGGCTCCGTGTCTTGGTAACATGGCCTAATGTAATAGGTGTCCTGTAAGCTCCAAAGGCACAGCCTCCCTTATCACCCAAGCTGAGTACTCGAGGTGTGCCCTTTGTGTGGGCTGAGCATACCCTCTTCTTGTAGTTGAGCTTTGATTGCTGTTGGCAGGTCAACGGGAGGGATTTACCCCAGGTCAGTAAGCTTCAAGGACTGGCTGTGGCCACTGACTACTGATTTCTACCTTCCGCAGAGGGTCAACTGTGCAGGAGCAGGGTGGTTGTGCTCTGGCATGGTCTGTAGCGGGCCACTGGGTGCACACTCTGTGGTTTCCTAGGTGGTACAGGCCTAGTTCAGAGTCCATGTGTTTTGCCTGGGGCCACCCTGCCTGGACTATAAAGCAATCTAAGATGGCTGCTTCTTGTGCTGGGCTTGGAGATTGCCAGGCAAAGTCAAACTATGAATCTAGGCTGGTTGCTGCTAGTGCTATCCTGGGGTCATTCAGCAAGAGGTACGGGGGCTGGGGGCTCACTGAGGCTGGCTGTTGCTTGTTTGACAGGATTTAGTAAATTGTGAAGCACAAGCCAAGATCAGCAATTCATATGGAAAAGTGTTAACAGCTTGCATGGGCCCATAAAGTTGGGTGGGACTGAGTTCCAGGGAATCTCCAGGACAGGGCAAGTTAGCCAGGTTGATGGAGTCTCGTATATGGCACCTGCCTTGTGGCTCTGTGACTCTGTGGAGGGAGGCTTCAGAAAAGGGAGAATGGTCTTTCTGTCTGGGAGAATGCTCTGCCCCAGCTCTTGACTTTATGCCAAACACTTGAATTTCTCCCCTGGATGCCACTGGTGCCTTCAAGCTGCTACCCTGTTGCTGGAGTTCAGAGGGTTGAGTCTGAGTAAGTCTATGTGAGAGTTAAGAGGAACTGCTTGGGACTCTAGAATATTTTTCCACCAACTGAGTCCCCGCTGGTTTTTGCAGCCATAATTTATGGGGACTTACCTTCCTGGCACTGGAACCCTGGGCTGGGGGTCCTGGTGTGGGGCTGGCTCCTTGCTCTCAAGACATCCCTCCTGAATTTTTATCCACCACACGTGAGTGTGGAACCAGCCCATTCCACATCTCTGTCCCTCCTACCAGCCTGGATGGATGTGGTTTCTTTAATTCCATAGTTGTCAGACTTCCATTCAGCTCAATTTCTGATGGTTCTGCGTGATGCTTTTTCTATAATTTAGTTGTAGTTTTGCTGTGGTTGTGTGAGGAGGGGAGCTATGTTTACCTCTGCTGCCATCTTGACCTACGCACCTATTTCAGAAGACAGTGGGCTGTCCCAGGCAAGTCTTCAAATCCTGCTTCTTCCTATTATGTGTCTGAAACATCAGGAGAGACATGCTTTTTCTCCCCTCCTTTACAATGTGGCCAGCCAGGCCTGGAGCAGCCTTCCCCAGTGTGCAGCGGGCAAGGCCTCCTGCCATGGGACCCTGGGGCCGTGAGGCAGGAAGCACACCCGGAGAGGCCTCCTGCCACCTACCCCATGGCCGTCATTATTTGAGATGTGCCCTCTGTGTCGACTTGCCATATTTCCTAAGCAGACGTAGGCTGATTTCTTCTTTTGGGAACTTTGCTTCTCTTGCGTGAGCCTGGGAATGTGTGGCCATGCACACGGCTTGAACAGGAGGGCAAAGAAGGAGCCCCCCTTCCCCTGCCCTGCCAGGTGGGCCAGCATGTCCTCTTTCTCCTCAAATGACACATTTTTGGATTATCACACGAGAGGAACAAATATTTTTATACCCCTACCTCTTTTATCTTTTTATTTTCACCTGAGGACAATTTTGGGGGCTTTTTTTTCCCCCATTGATTTTAGAGGAAAGAGAAAGAAAAGAAAACATTGATTGGATGCGTCCTATACATGCCTGGACTGGGGATTGAACCCACAACCTGGGTATGTGCCCCAACTGGGAATCAAACCCACAACCCTTCGGTTTCGGGGCGACACTCCAACCAACTGAGCCACACTGGCCAGGGCTATAACCCTAACTCTTAAAATAGCCCCCAGGGCTTCGACAAGCGAGCTGTATTCCCGTTTGCTGTGTTTCATTTCTGTGGCCTATTGACCACCTCATAAAAGGCCACTTGCTGGCATGAAATTCCCAGGAGAACCAGACTGCTAAGTGCCCCAGCAAATGACTGTACTAGTCACCACCATCCTTCAGCCAACTGAGGGTCCTGTTGGTCTGGGGAAAGTGCCCCAAGATGCCTCCAGGTGGGAGAGCCCCCGTCAGCTTGGTGTGGGGCTGGCTCCTTGCTCGAGGTGCAGGTCCACATAAGGACCAGGGTGTTTCAGGACCCATCCCCACTGCAGCCACACCACAGTTAGAAATATCCTGGAGTGGCAAACATGGCCTAACATAAGATACAAGCCTACTCCCTTTACAATTTAAAAGCCACATTAATGTCAAGCATGACGGGCCATACCCCTCCCAGCCCCCCCCGCCACAGGTTCGTAGCTGACTCCAGGCCCTGGGAGGTGTCGTGGTTCCCTGAATCAGATGGAGGTTGGACTCAAAGAAACCATGTCACCCAGGGTCTCACTATAAAACCAAGACACTCCCCGTGCTGGCCCTCCCAAGGCAATGGTATTCTCCATGTGTCTGATGGCTTTGCAGGCCCACGGGGCTCCCCAAGGTCCCACTCAGCCCTCACTCAGTTCATCCTGTCCCCAGCAGAACTTCCAGTTGGCCACCCACAATGGGTGCCCAACCCTCATTCTGGCCTCCCCGGAGCCCCAAACTGCTGCGTCACCCGAAAACCTGTGTTCAGTGCTCGCCACCTGGCCTTTCAGATTTCCAGCAGCGGCAGTGGGGGCCGGGAGGGAGGCTGCTCTGTGCTGGGCTGTGGCCCCTACCTAGCTCCTTGCACAGCTTCTGGATGCAGCTCGGAGGGTCCCCCTTCTGGTGCAAGCCGCCCATGCTCCTGCTCCTCTGCAGCTCAGCCACCTCGCTGGTCCCCTTGAGGTGTCCAGTGGCCATCCCCAAAGGAGGGGCCCCGGCGCCCGGCCGGTGCCTCCTGTGCACGCTGGTGGCATCCTTCTCCATCCTTCTGCTCCCTTCAGGTCTCGGGAAAGAAGAGGGACCCAGCTCTCAACACGGCCTCAGACAGAGAACATGGCTTCCAACCTCTCCCGAGGTGAGCAGTCCAAGAGTGTGCCCAGGAGGCCCCCGTTGCTAAGTGTCCCCTGTGACATCACTGCAAAGTCAGAGGTCAGAGGTCATCTAGGTCACTTAGGCTGGCGGTTTGGAGAGCAGTCTTTGCTGGGTCCCCCTCCTTCCAGGCCTGTCTGCCAGAAAAAGACAGGAAGGGGGGGGCGGGTTCAGACAGGCTAAGGGGACAAAGGTGGCACAGACCCAGCTGGGGCAAACGGATGCAGGACAGCAAAGCCACGGTGGGGGCGCGGCCATTTCATCAACGGTGAGGAGGCGTTCTCTCTCCTGGCCTGCAGACCAAACAATTCTCTTTGGCTTCAGCAGGCAGGGCTGTCTGGCCGTCGAACTGCACTGACAGAAATGCCCACTTAAATCTGCATTTTCAGTCCGTATTAGTTTGCTGGCACTGTCATAACAAAGGACCACGGCCGGCGTGGCTTAAGCGTCTTCTTTCTAGATTTGGAGGCCCCTCTCCTTGGCATGTAGATGGCTGTCTTCTCCGTGAGTTCCCACATGGTCACCTCTCTGTGCCTGTGTCCTAATCTCCTCTTCTTATAAGGACACCAGTCACACCAGATTAGGGGTCACACTGATGACTTCACGTAACCTTCATTGCCTCTTTAAAGGCCTGACCTCCAGAGACAGTCACCGTCTGGGGAACTGCCGGTCAGGGCTTCACCACATGAAGTCGGGAGGGAGGCGGACATAATTTGGCCCATAACACAGCCTAACAGATTTCCAATATCCTCTTTGAGCACAATCGTTTTCCTTCAATCATCCAAGACCATGGGGGACAAAGCATAGTAGGTGCTTTTCCCGAGAAACCAGCTGACTGCACTGGGGGTGCCCTACTTAGAATGAGGCCTACGTGACTCCCTAATTCCACTGCACTTCCATCCCCTCAAAAAAGCTAACAGCATCTTAGCTCACAGGAGGCCTCAGAACACCAAGCCAAGTGGCCAGTGCAGGGACAGATGTGGCATCCTCGTACCCAACATTCCTCGGAGGCACCTGCTCCAATCCATAAGGGTCTAACCTTGGAGAGTGCAGCTGATGAGTCACGGCACTGGGACGCTGAGGGGTGGCTCTTTTCTCCAGGTAACAGGTCTCCTGGAGAAAGAGCAGGTGGAAACAGCCAACCATGGTGACCTGTCACTGGAGGTCCTGGGAGGGGGGCTTCTGGTCACCATGTTTCCCATTGTGTTCTCCCTTCAGCCCTTCCACGTCCTCCCACCAGGGCAGGACTTCTCAAGCCTCCTGATTCCCTCGGCTGGGCCTCGCCCTGGGTGTGACCGCGAGCCGTCCTGGCCCCTCGGCGCCGCCCCGTGGTCCTGCTGTGGAGGCTCGTGTCTGGGCTGACCGACACTCATGGCTTCTCACCGCAGGGGCAGGCGCTCCCCTTCGGCACCCCTGCATCCCACCCAGCCCTCCGCTGCCCCTGCCTGGGGCCGACAGGAGGCGCTGGAAGGAAGCAGTAACAGCAGTGCCCTCCCCAAGTCCATGTCCCCAGGGAAGGTGGCCGACCACCATCACCGTAAGTGCAGCGGCTGCCGCACCCCCGGAAACGTCTGATTCTTCTCAGAACAGCTGACCCAGGTTGGAACTTAAAAATCAACGGAATGAAAACCAAATGGAGAAAATAAAAAAATAAGGCAATGAGAAGATGCATTCTTCTCCCCAAAGGTGGGGTGTCCCCCTTCGAGCTCCTGTTGTGCATCAAGCCCCTCCCTCTCCACCCTGGGGCGGCGGCAGGGGGTGGATAACCACCTCTGCTCAGTGGCCCTGAAGGCCTGTCACTCTCCTGCTGCTCCTGTCTCGGCAGGCCAGCCTCCCGGGTCCCCAAGCTGGCAGCCCATTGCTGTGCTCAGGCAGCAACCCGAGAGCGAGCCGGTCTTCCCGCCCTCCCTGAGCCGGACCGTATCGCTAGCCACACTGGAGGTTCCCAGCAGGACCCCTCCGAGGGCCCTCACAGGGCCCAGACCCACCCCTTTCTATCCGAGCACATCATGGTTTCCAGCTCAGCCTACAGCTCCACAACTGGACCCGACCTGTCAGAGAGGTGTCACCTGCCCTCTGGGGGAACCTCACCTGTCACCACCGGCATGTGTGTCATCAAGCTCCCCACCTGCCCAGCTCCACCACGCCCCCCACCTCCCACGTGTGCCACTGCCAGCGGCACTCCTGGGAAACCAAACCAGTCCTCAGAAAGAATAAAACGTCTATTTTAATTGGCCGATAAAATACATCACAAATCATTAGTATCTTATAAACAGAAACATTAAGTTACAAACCATGTTAAAAATTGCAGTCGGTCAATGTTCCAAAGTTTATTTTTCCAACATAGTTTTCCACCGTTTTTTTGTGACAAGCAATGTTCCTGTCTGCCACCTAGATCTGGGTGTGAAAAACACTCCTCGCAAACAAGAACAGAGAGGGACACAGGAGCACATGGGCCTGCGCGTTTGAGCAGTGCTTTCCAAAGCCGGTGCCTGCAGCTGAGGGCTGTCTGCGGAAAGCCAGCCAACAGCGCTCCTCGCGTTAGGACGCCCCACCCCAAAGGAAGCAGCCCCGTGGCTGCTTCTAAGGCTTCACAGAAACAGTGCAATACTGCTCCTGGGGCCCAGGGGGCGTCTGCTCAGCCCAGCGCCTCCCTTTTCAAGCTCAGCATTCCTTCCCTTCCTTTATTTTCTTTTAATCCTACGCTTATTGATTTGAGAGAAAGAGAGAGGAAGGGGGAGAGAGGGAAGCAGGGGAGAGAGAAACATTGATTGGTTGCCTCTCCTACTCACCCTGGCAGGACTGAACCCACAACCTAGTTTTGTGCCCTGACCAGGGATGGAACTTGTAGCCTTTTGGTGTACGAGACGATGCTCCAACTCACTGAGCCACCTGGCCAGGGCCCTTCCTTGCTTTCTTTGAAGGACCTGTAATGAGCTTCCATGAGATGCACCCCGTTCCCTTTTTTGCCCTACTGTGGCACCCTCACCTTTAAAGAGTCCAGGTTTGAAGATCTGAGTTATTTTGTATCAAAGAGCTGAATAAAAACCTTAAGAAAAACGGCTTGAAAATAATGCACATTTCTATTTTTAAGATCTTCCCCAAACTTCTACAAGGGGTGGAAAACGTGGGTTCCACGCTTAAGCCCCACTGACAGCAAACACAACTTGTGCTTGAAGTGGGGACTGGGCAGACATCCAGCTCAGCTCTCAGAAGCTCATGGGGCATCTGTAGGCGGTGGGCGTGTCTTGGCAGCCAGCAGGGGTGGGATTCTAACCTCTGGGAGCGATGTCTGGAACTCCTCCACCCCCAGGATCTCTGCAGAACCCTGTACCCCAAAAATATCAAGAGCATCCTCAAATTGGGATCTCCATGCACTTCTGCACATCCCGGCCACAAAACTGACCCTCCAGCCAGGAACACCAACATCAAGATCTGAAACCAGGAGGCCATCCGCCCGTGGGCTCTGGGACAGTAAGGTCACAGAAAAAGAACAATGCTCTCAACGCCCCGGCTGTGCTGAAGCAGAGGGCTCCCCGGTGCGGGTGCCACGGAGACCAGCAGAGGCAGCAGTGCACACAAGAGAGGCAGAAGCACTTGCTCTGCACAGGGCGAGACAGCACCTCGGTCCAGAAGGGTCGGGCCAGGCCAGGGCACCTGCCCACCAATGTGAATAAAGTGCGTGACAAACACAGAAACAATCCCGGAGTCTCAGAAGATCCATGAACTTGACGCTTGTCATCTGTGCAAGTGGAGGAAGTGTGGATCCCTCTGCTTCCTCGTCTGCCTTCTTGTTTTTGTCTCCCCCCTTCGCAAAGACTGCAACTTTCCTGGTGCAGCTCAGGACACTGTCCTGGGACACGACGTCCTCCGGGCTTTAAATGGAATGGGTGGAGACCTCTGACTGCTGCCTGATGTAGCTTTGAAAACTCTTATCTCCAATGGGGTGTTCCCTGCAAAGGGAAAATGGGGGGGAGGGGAAAATGAGGCACAGCTCCCTCCATCACCAGTGCACAGCTGTGCTTTCAGTCTTTCTATCTATCTGTGTATGTGATGCCTGTTCTTTGTAATAAATATGAGAAGTATAGGTGGCCCAAGGAAGAAAGAATTAGCCTAAAGCCATCTGTGGAAGCACCACTGTGACCCTGGTCACAGTGTGTAGGTCATGTGCTCACACACAGGCGTGTGCACAGAGTGTGTGCACAGTGTGTGCAATGCACTCGTGACGTAATTTAATCCAATGTCCCACCAGTTGGCGAGGCTCTCCTTACCCTCCGTTCTTGGAGCAGCAAGGAGGCACACAGGCTGGTTGAACTGTCTGTGGGCTCAAGGCCAGCAGGGGGCAGGAGGGGCGCAGGCAGCCTGGCTGAGTCTGCAGTCTTGGCACCCCCACCCCTCCTCACAAGACCAGTCCAGAGCTGGCCTCCAAAGAGAAGGAAAAGGTGCAGAAGTTGCCGGGCGCAGGCTTGCTGGCCCAGGAAAGCCTAATTTTGGAAGGGAATGAGCAGGGGAGGCAGAAAGGACAGGAGAGTCAGGAGGCAGGAGCAGAGGAGGAGAGGAGGCGCTGCCCCAGGACACCGCCCGGGGCACCCTGGGGAGTAAAGTGAGGCCCTGCTCTGAGGAGCCAGGAAGCCTGCACAGTCCCCACGCCGCACGCGGGTGGCTCTAGGGCAGGCCCGACTCCCTCGTCTTCGCCGGATCTCGCCACAGTCTCTTCCCACACCCTTGCTGAGACTTCCCACGTCACCGGGCACCATACTCACTGGCTCCCATACTTGGTCTTCTTGAACTTGTCCCTTTTGTACTGGGCGTGCTCCTGCTCCAAGGCCCCGACCCTGGCAATGACCTGCTTCAACGTCTTGTAGGTCTCCTGGGGGTCGTCGATGATGAAGGTC